AGACAGCTGCTTCTTCCAGGACTGAAAATGGACTCTAAAATGTGTCACTCAAAAAGGAAGTGATCACTGGCTGAATATTTTGACTGTAAATGAGGCGGTTTAAAATGAGGAGTGCGTATTAATAAACTTGATCAAAGATGTACTTTCTGGTTTGGTAGGGCTTTTAATGGGTAAAGATTAGAATAAATATATTCCATATTGTCTGTTTTTGCATGGCTAATTTCTCAAACCGGAGAATTTTTTTACCAAGGTAAAGTTGCAGTTTCCCCATCTTACTAGTAGGCACAGGAAACAGAAGTTACCACAGGGCAATGTCTGACTTTAAGGTGCTGTGCAAGTCAGGGGAAAAGGCATATGCAGCTTTTCTTGCATACCAACTACAGAAACATTTCGTGCATGCACATTTTTATATATGACTGAAACTTCGTTCAGTCATGTACTGCATGCTAAAATACAAATGTGCATTTTGCAACCTTTTTGAACTGTGTCTTAATCACTCACACTGCAACCTCCACCTCTTAACTTCCTGTCGTGTTAAGAGAGCAAGTTAAAAAAAACCACAAACAGAAGTCACGTGACTTTTGACTGAACAGGTCCGCTACTATATGTGTCGAGTTCATGCAGCTCGAATCCTCTTTTTTAGATCAGTCGATTGTTGGTTTGTGTCTGCTTTATGTCACAATGTCTCTCAAGAAACTCTTACTGTAAAAAGACGAACAGGAACCAAAGAAAAAGAGGAAGAGGAAGAAGAGGAGGAGAATGGATCGAGAGATGGAAACTACTGATGAGGACTGCAGTGTAGCCACAGAAGCAAATGGTGGTGAGTTCTCAGCAGTTTTTGTTGCAGAACATTTACATTTGGTTCTGACATAGCTGCAAGCTTACAGGGTTATGGTGGTTAACTTTCAACACTGAAATTATTTTGATTATGTAGTTGTTGGTTTAATGATGAAAATTTAAATTTAAAATGTGGTTTTCATGCTAATCTAGAGGATAGATGTCTGACTTATGCAACACCTCTTTGTTCTGTCACTCAGCTTTTCCGCTACGGTGCACTGAGGAAGTACTTCTCCCTTTCTTCACAGATGAGAGTCTGCAGGTTGCCATGAACGTACGACACCCTCCTGCCTCCCCCGGTTACCCACCTGCCCTCCCAGAACTCCGACTGGTCCTGCTGGGAAGAAAGGGAGCCGGCAAGAGCGCTGCAGGCAACACCTTGCTGGGAGGTGTGGTTGGGTTTGAGAGCGGGAAGCCCACAGAGGAGTGCGTGAAAAGGCGAGCAGATGTTGTTAGACGGAAAGTCACAGTGGTGGACACACCTGGGTGGGAGTGGTATTACCCACTCAACAGGACCCCCAACTGGGTGAGGAGGGAAACTCTAAGAAGTGTTACCCTTTGCCCACCTGGACCTCATGCCGTGCTCCTGGTAGTCCGCTCCTGTGCATCCATCACAGACAGCTACATCCAGGAGATAGAGGAGCACCTGGAGCCACTAGGAAAGGATGTATGGGAACACACCTTGGTGCTTTTCACCCGGGGAGATGAACTTGGCCTGTCAACCATGGAGCAGCGGATCCAGACTAGTGGTTCTGGACACCAGAGACTCCTCCAGAAGTGTGGCAACAGATACCACATTGTAAACAACTATAACAAAGGAGACGACACACAAGTAAAGGAACTGATAAGGAAGCTGGAGGTGATGGTGGACAGAAAGAAGGGTGGGAAGAGTCACCTGGAGCTGGATAATAGTGTTCTGCTGGGACTGGAGGCTGATGGAAAGAGGAGGGCAAGGGAAAGAAGGAAGAAGCAGAGGCAGATGGAGGCACAGATGCAGAGAGGAACCATCAAAGCTGCTCTCATGAGTGAGTTCTTCAGATTGTTTGATGATTTAACTTCACAAGAGACTTCAAGCGCATAAAAATATTCAGTTACATTATGAACTCAAGCAAAAACACATGTATGGCCTCCGCATTTGAATACCCATGGATTCAGCTTTTTATTATCAAGTGAAATGAGTTGCACTTTAGTGACAGAGTAAACCTTATATAGCACTCTTCTTTTAAATCTGAATACAGACAGCTCTAATTCTTTTCCATACTGTTTGAAGGTTGCAGCAAATATTGGTGACCTTTGACCATTACTTTTTGCACAACCTCTCTAGATAACCCATTTTTCTGGGTCATTTCTGTTGCTCATACCAGAAGGTTTCTACAGGATCTAGATCTGTACACTAAGATGGTGAGGGAAGGAGGTAAAATGTGGGTTTGGTGAACCATTTTTGTTTTGATTTAACTAAATTTTTTTTTTCATCGTTATAAAGTCAAAAGGCCTTCAAAAAGGCCTACAATATTATTATATTATTGTTATACACAGCACAACATCAGAGGACTGTTGGTCACCAATTGGTTAGGGAGGGATGTCACTAGACACAGCTTATTTTAAAAACATATCTTTGATTCTAAGGTAATTTTACACTGGGCTTATTTAATATATAAGCTCTATAACAGCAAGTCAGCAGTAGGTAGCATTAGCGTATCTTCATATGTTGTAGCTTGAATCCTTCCTTTTGATAATGCATTCTTCATTCTCTGTCCTGTACATATTTAACTTGCTTCTAGCTGTCCAAATGTTGTCTTAGCACTGTTATTTTACTCTGAGTCTGACAACAGCTATAAAAAGAGCAGGCTGTTGCTGTGGTCTGCAAACCATATTACAACAGAGCCGGACTGTAGAGCAGCATTATTATTAAAGATCCTGCCCCTATTGAGATACTGCCTCTTTGTACTGGAAAATGAATCAATCCAAAGTGAACCAATGCAACCTGTCTTGACCTGAATTGATAAATTACCAACAGCTACAAGCAAATCAATTTCAATACTGAGGCAGGTTATATATGGCACTGCCCTCTATTGTGTAAAATTGACATTGTACAGTTCTGGAATCTGGAGAAACTATACTGGAGTGGCAGCATCATGTCACCACGCTGTTTTGTACAGTATGGTATTCAAGAGGAGAAAATGGCCTACAAATGCATAAATGCGCTACAAATGCATAATGAAGTGCAAGCACAAAAATGAGCAATTGCAGAAAAGAGAATGAGGTAAATGTGCTGCAAAACCACTCGTTAAGATCTAAATAAGATGCTCAGAAAGTGAGCAACAAGTTAGTAATTGCCTCCTAAACCTAACAAATAGTTGGGGAGTTCTAGGTTGCAAGAACTGCAAACAAGCGTTTTTTTACTTGCAGTGCACATTTATAGAACTGAATTTGTAACTGAGCCAAATTAGAGGGTTTTCGAGCAGGGACTGTCTTTTCCAGCTCATGCTACAGGATTTCAACAGAATTCCAGTCAGAACTTTGACCAGGCCACTCCAAAGCCTTAAGTTTGTCTTCCCCCAGCCATTCAGAGTTGGACTTGCTGCTGGGTTTTGGATCATAGTCTTTCTGTAGAACCTAAATTAATTAGATCCTAAGGCCATGAATAGATGGCTAGACATCCTCTAAGGTTTTTAGGTGGACAGCAGAAACTATTATTTAATACAGGAAGTTTTCCATATGGAGACAAACAGCCACAGACCATCACACTATCATCACCAAACTGTAATGTTGGAAAGATGTTTATTTTCTAACATGCATTGTTACTTTTATGCCAGGTGTAATGAGAGACACACTTTCCCAAAAATGTGACTTTTTGTCTAAGACTTAGGGATCACCAAGGCATGTTCTAGAAAAGCTGAAACAAATGACAAATTATTTTTGCTCAGCTGTGGTTTTGCTCCTGGAACTTTGCTACAAAGGCCAATTTGGCCCAAACTCTTTGTTATGCTGGAGGCAAGAACAGTTACACTAAAAGAGGCCAGTGAGACCTTTTAGATGTTGTTTTTGAGGCTATGGTGACCTCTTGGATGAGTCACTGCTGTGTTATGTTTTTCCATTTGTCCATGGTGGCTGTTGCTGTTTAGAAATGGATTTGTAACCCCCTTCATATTAATAGAGCTCCATTAATTAGTTCATTTGTTCCTGGAGTTCTTTGGGTCTCAGTACGGTGTTTAGTCTTTGAGGATCTTTTGGTGCAATTTATTTGTCAGACAGGTCCTATTTAAGAAAATTCTGGTTGGAAAACAACTGTGACGACAATTATGGTTGGATGTGGCTAGAGAAAGTGAACTCATTTATGAGATATGTTGTAGCAGATAGGGGGCAATAATGTTTTTACACTGGGCCTTTTTTTTCTCCCTCATTAATAATTATATATATTAAAAAAAACTTTATTGCAAAGCTACATTTTCCGTTTACTTGTGTTGTCTTTGATAGATATTTACATATATTTATAACACCTAAGTTAGCCTGATAAACCAGACTAAATGTGAGATTAAATGTGTAATTTAGTCTGGCCCCAATGAGGGAGACATCTGAAGACTGTTTATTAGAACAACCCGTTGTCTTTCAAACCGCTGTCTGTGTCTATTGGCCAACGCTCTGACCAATGAGCGCAACTGACTGTGACGTAGTAAGCGCGACAGAAAGCTGGTGGGGGGGTGAAAACAAACAACCTGTCGGTAAAACGGCGAATATGTCCTTCTTAAAAATGAATGAGCGTAAGGCCTCCTCCTGCTATCGTTTCAGCAAAACACCTCAAGTCTAATCCTTCTAAAACTGATTCCAAGTTTGAGTCAAAAATCGGCATCAGAGGCAGCGTTCCTTCACACATGACTATGCTGAAAGAGGGCCGCTGTAGACAGGCTGCGGTTAGCCCTGGCTGCTGTTAGCCTCGGAGGTCCACTGGTTGCCTCGGTCCTCTCAATTTCGGAAATTGTTTTTTTAAATTACGCATTAACTCGTTAAATGGACCATATCGTGACACTCTAAAGTATAATATTCTATATAAACTTACTTTTATTGAACAACAGAAAAGAGAACTTTTAACTTTCAATGGAACGCTCCATTGAAAGCTGCTGCTACGGCTACTGTTCAATAGTTGCTGCCATCTTCCTTGTTGTGCTTTCTCCAGCGTCATGCAGCTTTGTCGTCACGTCCTCCAAACCCCGCCCGCTTTGCATCCAAAATTTCTAAACACATCTCTGCATTGTGATTGGCCTGCTAGTTCTAGGGCCTGGGCATTGATCGAGGCTAGACCAAACTCGCAGGCAAAATGATTTTGGCCGCTGGTGGATGGGGCTAGTTTACTAGGCTATACCTAAATGGGACAAAGATGCAAAACAAAAACATGCAGAAATGACAGATTAGCTTGATCTGATAATAAATTCAAGTATAAATTTTTTTTTACCTGTATGGGAATCAAAATTCAATTTTGTACAGTGGATTATCATTAGATGTAAAAAATAAATAAATTGAGTCATCAGTTGCTGTGATTCCAGTAGTTGTGAATTTTAAGCAAATTTTGAAAAGTTTGAAGGAAAGGAAATGCGAATTTTCAGTATTTCCAATTTTAATTGAAGTAGGCTAATCAATTGTAATTTTGTCATTCATCGTTATCCACATTATGTTGTCATTCATGACTGTAATAAACAGGAAGTAGAGGCTGCAATCTAGCACGGATCATAGATGAGTAATAGAGGAAAGATTTATAGATTTATTGAACATATAGCTATCGGACAAATTGTTCATGTCGGCTAATAATGTTGATGTTTTTTCCAGTCATGTTTATGCGCTTAACTGGAATATCCCGGAAGAGGCCAACAGGAAAAACAACTGATCATTCATGAGAGAAAAAAGTTTGCTACATAAGAGCTGATTCGAAAAAAAAAAAACTTTTTTGTCACCCGTTTTGCTTGTTAAGCCGGGGGAGTGTTGGCCTAGTGGGTTACAAGGTTGCAAGTATCCGGTTGGATCCCCACAGTCTGCACTCTGGGTGCCACAAAATGGCAGCCCACTGCTCTCCAAGGGGATGGGTCAAATGCAGAGGGGAAATTTGCCCATAGTGTTATGATAAAGGGGTTTACATTTTAATTTTTGTCAAAAGTTTTTAAGACAACAATTTCAAGCAAACATGAAAATAATTTTTTTCATTTTGCTGTTTCCATCAAGCTTTTCTGATAAGATACCATACTTCAAATGGGCATCAGAAAGAGCTTAATGAAATGGCATAGTTATCAATCTAAGCACACAGTGTCTCCATTGTGGATGTAGAACATCTGTGGCCGACAGCTATAGTGCTTTCCAAAGAGGTGGACAACCAAGTAAAATGTAAAAGTAGAAATCAAGAGGTGACAAAATGTCCAGCATCCATTGTTATTATTGCTCTGTTGTAAAATCACAAAATGAAATCAGTCTGTATCTCTCATCCTCTCAGGCGATGGACCCCAGGGATCAGAGCTGGATGCACACCAGTCGTTCTCCAAGACTCCTCGACGGCTACCCGAGGTTAGACTAGTTCTCCTGGGCGAGCGTGAAACTGGGAAAAGTTGTGCCGGGAACGCCATACTTGGGAAAACTGGCTTCTTCCAAGCAGGAGCTGTGACGGAGGAGTGTGTACGCCAGCAGGCGGAGGTGGCAAGGACTATGGTGACAGTGGTGGACACCCCGGGCTGGGAGGCAGGAGTGGCCGGTGCCACGCCGGAGCGGGTCAAACGGGAGATCATGTGCAGCGTGGCTCTGTGCCCTCCTGGGCCTCACGCCCTTCTGCTGACTCTGAGGGTGGACACTCTGGTGAGGGCAGGACATGTCAGGGAGCACCTGGAACTTCTTGGAGAAGGAGTCTGGAGACACACAATTCTGCTGTTCACCCACGGCGACCAGCTCCGCGAGGGGGTCGACATTGAGCGGCACATCCAGAGCGGAGGCCGGGACCTACAGGGGCTGCTGGAGAAATGCAGGGGCAGGTACCACGTGATCAGCAGCGGAGATGGAGGAGGACGAGGGAGTGGAGGCTCTGCTAGGGTGGCGGAGCTTCTGGAGAAAGTGGAGAAGATGGCGACGATGAACAGGTGTGAAGCCTTCTCCTGCGTGGTACAGGAAGTTAGGGATCTGAGCCTTCAGAGGAACGAAAAGTTCAACCAGCGGCTGAAGGAGATAGGAGACAAGATGGTTCGTCAGGAGGCAGAGTTAAAGAAGTTGAGGGACAGAGAGGTGAAGAGCATCAGGTGGTTCTTTGATAGAAAGAAGAAGGTGAAGTCACCAGGAAAAGCTGATGTTCAAAGAGAGGAGGAGGACGATGAGGACAGGAGGGTCGGAGAAATAAAAAATGACTTTGGCGACCTGGAGGAGAGGATGAGATGGCTGACAGAGGACAGAGAAAGGGAAGTTCAAGATCTTAGCCTTGAAAATGAGAGAATCCGAATCGCACTAAATCAACGTCAACAGGAGAAACGGGAAGTGGAGCTGAACCTGGAGCTAAAAGAGAGGGAGATCGAGGAGCTGAAGGAAAGGACCGATGAGCAACAGCTGAAACTTCTTGATCTTGAACGCTCCTGTGTTGAATCTGAACATGAGAGGAAGAGGAGGGAGGAGGAAATCAGAACAGAGAAACAAGAATGGAAGAAAAAACTGGAAGACAAAGAGGAAATTGTGGAAATGCTTAAGAATGAGAAAGCAGGGCTGATTGAAAGGTTTGAAGCTTTACAAGTAAAACTGGAGAAGACGGAAACACACTATGATGGTTGTCTAAGAAAAGAAGGAGAGAAAATCAGAGACATGGCAGAAAGGGAGGAAAAACTGAAGCAGGAGATGGAAAATAAAGACAAACTGCTGGAGGAAGTGAGAAAGAAAGCTGCAGAGGAAAAGCAAGTGATACTTGAAAAGTTAAATATGTTGGAAAAAAGTACAGAGAAGCTGAAACAACAACATAAGAAAGAAATGGACAACAAAGAAATAGAGATAAATGACATTAAACAACAGCACCAAGAGGAGATGATCAACAAAATAGCTGAGAGCCAAAAAAACATGGAGGCAATGAAAGTTCAACAAAAACAAGAAGTCAACAAGACTTTAAAAGAAAAAAGTAACGACATTGAAAGACTCAAACAGCTGCATGAGGAAGAACTTAGGAGCATGAAGCAAGATCAAGAAAAACTGATAACAGAGCTCAACAAGCAGTTTGCAAAAGAGAAGAGTGAACTTTTGGATACAAAAAAGAGAGAAATAGCAGCACTGAAACATGATCATATCACTCAAATTGAAGCAAAAGTGCAGGAACATGAAAAAGACAAAAAAATGCATCTACAACAGAAAAAAGACATGGAACGACATATTCAAGAGAAAGACAAGGAGATGGAGGACTTAAAAGTCAAACACCAAGAAGAGATGGCAACAAAAATAAATGAAATGGTTAAACTCATGGAGGAAACAGAAACTGACTACAAGAAGGAACTTGATAAAATAGTAAAAGAGAAGGAAGAAGAAGTCAAAAAGGTCAAACAAGAAGATGCAAAAATACTTAGCCAGCTAGAGCAAGAGAGACAAAGCAAAACAGAGGAACTCAAACAACAAATAGATGAAGGAGAGCAGGAAAAACAGAGACTGATCAAAGAGTTAAAGGAAAAGATTGCAGCCCAAACAGAAGAAGCTAGGAGAGAGCAGGAGAGGATGTTACAAGATCTGCAGCAGAGGCAGAAAGAAACGGAGGAAATCAAATGGGAGCTGAACAAGGAAATCAAAAACAGGGCAGCAGATAAAGACAGACACACAGAGGAGGTGTTGCAAAAGAAGAAAGAGATTGAGGAAATGAAAGAGGAATTGAAAGAAACAAAGTGGAAAATGCAACAGAAAGAGGAAAGAGAAAATGAACTTTTGAGGGAAATTGTAGACAGAGAAACAGAGATAGAAAGATACAAAAAAGAATTGGAGCAACAGACAAAAGATGCAAAAGAAAGGTTCAATGAAATGAAGGAAAAGATACTACAAACAGAAGAAAGAGTTAAAGATCTTCTAAATGACATCAAAGCAATGGGGCAAAAGCTAGAATTAAAAGACAAAGAGATTGAAGAGATGAAATTAACTATTAAAGGAATGAATGTAGAGATTCAAGAAAAGGAAGAGAAAGAAGCCGTTTACTTGGAGTTCAGAAAAGAAACTGAGCAACAGCTGAAGACAAAAGAACAAGAAATCGAACAGATGAAGGAGAAAATAAAAGATCTCGAGCAACATTTGCAGCAGGCAAACGAGCAAAGACAAAGAGATGCCCTGAGCTACAAAAAGCAAACGCAACAAACTTTAGAAGAAAATGGAAGAGTGACTGAAAAGCTGCAACTGCACATAAAGGACATCGAAGAGATTCTGCAGAGAAAGGAAGACGAGCGAGGGGAAATCATTCTGAACCAAAAGAAAGAGGCAGAACAACGCCTGCAGGACACAGAGAGGAGGATGGAGGAGATGAGGCGAGAGCTTTTGGAAGACATGGAGAACAAACTGAACGAGAAAGAGATGGAGAACGAAAGCATGAAACAACAGTCTGACTCCAGGGAGGCGAGATGGAGGGAGGAGCTGAAGAAGACAGAGGAGAAAGGAGCGAATGAGATCAACAAACTACTACAGATAATTGAGAAGAAAACAAAAGAAGAAAAGCAAGCAGAACAAGTTCTCACAGAAAAAGAAGGAGTGATTGATCAGCTAAAAGAAGTTTGCAAAAATTACGTTAAGGACATAGAAGAGTTGAGGGAAAGCAATGAAAAGAACACGATTTGCATAGAGGAGATGAAGCAATGCCATGCACAGCAAGAGAAAGATGAAGCAGAGATGAGGGATAAGCTTCAGAAAAAAGAAGATGAACTCAAACATCTGCTGCAAAAAGACAAAGACAATGAGAAGGAGGTTGTTCAGCTGAGGCTGACTATCGAGCAAACTAAATCAGAGCTGAAAGAGCTCACAGAGAGAATGGAGAAGGAGATGACAAGCATGATTCAAGAGTATGAGAAAGAGCTCAACGTCAAAACTGAGAACACAGAGGCCATTGCTAAGGAGAAAGAGAGTCGCATCAGTCAGTTAGAGCACAGCATTCAGGACATCACCGAGAAATACGAAGAGAGCCAGAAGAAAGTAGAAGAACTGCAAGAGCAAAATGAGAAGATGAGGAAAGAGGCAGAAAATCTCAGCATCAAGAGTGAGGAGATGAGGAGGAAGAGTGAGGAACAGGTTAGGGAGCATCTAGCGACATGTGAGGAGAAAGTAAAGAGCATAGAGGCTATTGTTAAGGAGAGAGATTTAGAGGTGAAAATGTTACAAGAAGCCAATGATAAACTTCGAGGGGAGGTAGAAGAGATTAAAGCGAGTGAAGGCAGGAGCCAGACACAGATAAATGAGCTGAGGGAGAAAGAAAAAGAGCAGGCAGAGAGGTATAAGGAAGAATGCATTAAAAGAGAGGAAGTAGCCAAGGAAAGAGAGCAAGCGGTAAGAAGAGAAGAAGAAGAGTTAAGCAAAAGAAGAAATGACCTCAATGCAAAACAGGAAGAACTGGTTGAAATGGAGATAAAGTTGCAAAGCAAAGAATCAGATCTTCAAAAACTCCAAACTAGTCTGGACATAAGAGAAAAGGAAATAGAGGAAGAGAATAATCAAAGGAAAGAGTTGAACTTAAGGCAACAGGTTATCGAGAAGAAGGAAAGGGAGTTGGATGCATTACTTGGAGCCCTGGAAGGCAAGCAGAAAGAGCTGAGCTCTCATGGTCAAGACCTCCAGAAGAAGGTCAGGGGTCTGAAGGATCAAGGGAAAGAGCTGAAGGACAGAGAGTGCTACCTAAAGAACGAGGAGCAGGAGCTGCTCAACTGGAAGTCCAAGCTACTGATGCAAAATGAACTTGTCAACTGCACAACACAGGAGCTTGATGAGATGCGCAGAGACTTGGCTTTCCTGAAGGAAGACTTGTGTGCCAGAGAGAAAAAGCTAAAGGAGTCACTCAAAAACATGAACAAATGGGAGAATAGTCTAAGAGAAAGAGAGGAAGAGTTGACCAGGAAGGAGCAAAGGTCTAATGAGAGCACTAATGAAAGTTCTTGCCATATACTGACTGTAAATAACTCACCTTTGATGCACCAAGAGGTAAATAGCGGGAGAGGAAAGGGAAAAGATTTAGAGGTAGAAGCCACCATTAGTTCTGCAGAAAAAAATACATGCTACCTCGAAAAACTTTTGGAAACTAAGAAGCCTGAAGGAAACAATAAGAGCAACAATTTCAGGTCCCTACCAAACAACATCGGGTTGGATTTGAAAGTACTGGTTCTTGGCGAGACGTGGTCTTCCTGCTCCCCAGCTGGAGTTACTATCCTAGGTGGAGAGGCAACTAAGTTTGATGGATCTGGCTTCAGGCCTTGGATAGGTCAGATAGCTGGAAGGCGCCTGGCAGTTGCAGAACCTCTAGGTCTGAAGTGGCGAGATGGACCCGATCCGACTGACACGGAACAACGGAAGAGCATTATAGACAGCGCCTCCTGGTGCCATCCGGGCGCTCACATCGTCCTCCTGCTCGTGCCCGCCTTTCTGACCTGCACGAGGAAGTACAGGAGGGCGGTGGAGGAACATGTAGGCTTGCTCGGGGAGGACGTCTGGAGGCGCACTTTGGTGCTTTTTACCCGGGGGGAGATTCTGGGAGAGAGCGTGGAACAGCACATCCTGAGAAACGGGGAACTACTGGGGCTCATAGAGAGGTGCGGGGGCAGGTACCATGTGCTGACCAGCAAACACAACAACTCAGTGATCGATGGGCTGTTGCAAAAGATGGAAGAGCTCGCAGATTTTACTTTAGGAATGTGAGGACTGAATAATTATTAAAAAAATGTTTAATGTGTATTTGTAAATATGTTTGACTCAAAACCAAATGAATGTGGACTTTCCTAATTTTTTACCTCTGTATTTAATTTGTAATCCTGCATTTTCTTGCCTCTTTTGGATAAAATAATTCACAAATAAAAACAGTTGAATATATCACTAAAGTCCACCTTAATTGTCAGAATTCTCTTTTTTGCGAAAAGGGGAAAAAGTCACTTCAATAATGTCCAAAAAAAAATAAAACTAACTGCACTTAACTGCTTTATTAAAATCATGCTTCCTGCATGTTTTATAAAGACTCATTTTTCATTTATTTTCTTTAAATATGTTGAAAGCTTGATTCATCAGAGAAACCTCATATGACCTCAACTTTACTGTTCTCACCATCTCCCCTAGATGGAGACCTTGAGTCAGTGTAGAGTTTCCTCCCTCCAATCTAAATGTATCACTGCTGAAAGTCTCAACTGATAAAAAAAAAACATGATGGCCAAAGTATAATGAAGCCCCGTCAAACACGTTTCAACTGTGTTTTATGGTTTTCTGTGTAATGGTTACTTTTAAAAGGAAAGAGCACACAAAGCCTGACTAAAGCAGGTCTCTGTGCTTTATCTTGACTTGAGGCATTTCAGGAGAAACCGTCTCGCAATTATAACCCCAGGGAGCCGGGCCCTTGCTGAGAGGACCCCTGCTTTGACAAGTAAATTATGACTCTTGATGAGAGCATCGCGCCTCTTTCAAAATGCAATTTTTGACAGCCGGGAAAATGCGGGGGGATACATACAACAACTTCCATCATCATCTGCCGAGCCACATACAACATCCAAAAAACACTTGTGTGCAATCATCAGCCTAATAATTATGGAGTGTGAGTGCTGGTCTGAATCCAACATGGCAACAGTCCTTTTTTTTTTTTCCTACCTATAATCTGTCCATTCACTGTGTGCTGCCTTTAGATGCAAGATGAGAGGCTGTAGTGTCAAGATAGATCTGTTGCTCCTTTGATCATCTCTGCAGGATGGGGCTTCTTCTTTGTCAAAGAATCTGCGGAAAATTAAGGGGAAAAAAGTTCTGAAATTACAGTTGATGTAGACATAATTTTCACGCACTTAGCATAATGTTTCCATGCCCCAGCCAGAAAATCAGTCTTAGATGCATCGTCATGTAAATGATTTAAGATATTACAGAATTTACATGCTAAAAGATAGGAGTGTACAGACTAGATATGGGGCCAATTTCAGGAAAAAAAAACTAGATGTAAATAAGCGACATAGACAGACAGGTAAGCCAAGGTATATTTATAGTACAGTATGACCTTTAAATGTCAACGTTCCGCTTAAATCGTCTACATAAACATGACATGACTGCCTGACCTCTTAACACCTTCTGAACATTATGCTACATTGAGAATGTGTAATTGGTAAAGGACTGGTGACCTTTCTAGTTTGTGCCCCGCCTTTCACCCAGTGACCGCTGGAGCACCAGCCTCTCCCGCCACCCTGAACGTTAAAGCAGTTATTCGCAACAGATTTATAGATATTATGGTTTAAAGATGTAGAAGTGCAATTATGAAGTTTTGTTGTCGTTTTTGAGACTTTTTAAGTCCATAAACCTCCAGTTACAGCCAGCCAGGAAAATGTTCATCTTACTTTGTCAAACTTAAGCTAATGTTTACGCCTGCTAAGCTAAAGGCTCTCTGCATTTTAATGGCGTAGAAAGACACAAAGGCAATAGTATCCAGGCCGCTACTATACTTTAAGAATGATTTATATTTGGTCTAATAAGTAAATGGTCACTTTTTCTTTTTAACATACCCTAAACTGGGGCATACTGAGTATAAAAGGGAAAGTATCTCTTATCAGAGTTGTAGCATTTGGCCAAGTTTTTCTGAATGTTAGCAAAGGTTTACAGAAAAGTTAGCGGTAACTTTGATGGGGAATGGACTGCAAGCAGATGTGGAAAAAAAGCTTAGTTGAGTCTTACAAAAAAAGACGAGTATTGATAAGAACCATCAACGGGCATCTAAAAACAGTTAAAAAGCAATGTCCTGTTTATCTTTTGTAGATATTGATAAAATAGCTAGCTAGCGTGTTGTTTAGGGCGTAAAAAATCTACCAACCAGTTTCAAAAGCTTCAAAATTTATATTTCATATTTGGATTGTTTTATGTCCAAATACTGTTAAAATGAGAATGAATGTTTGAATGAATATTTTTAGGATTGTGAAAGTTAGCTGAAAAACAATATAAAAAGACGGTTAAATGATATTCAATGATAAGCACTACCCTTTATCTTGTAAACTAAATGTTTATGTTTTCAAGCACCTTTTTAACCTTTTTTTTTTGCTTTCTTTCTCAGCTGCTTTCTGTAGAATCCACACAAAAACTGCTTGGTATTGTATAAGAACAGTACCAGTTTTTGCAAAAAAAAAAGTACTTTCACAATTTTTACATTTAGAGCAAGATGCTAAAAAATAATTTACGTTTTTAACGTAGATTCTTTAAGGTCCAGCCAGTGTGGAAAAGTGGATGTGAGTATGAGATGTAAATGGAAGTTTGCATTTTAAAGGATTTATGTTGTGGAGATCCAAACCCATAAAACCCCTTTTTCTTTCCATTCTACACCATTTAAAATATGGAAAACCACTCTATCCATGGGTTTAGAGGGCTCTAGATTGAGATTCCTACACTGAATGTTGGTTGCACTGACTGATAATACCACTTTTGAATGCTCAATTTTGTTTTAGCTTGCCCCAGCTTAGATTTGAGCAGCACTGTAACCCTAATTTCTCTTTATTCGCCGCCTTTTAAGGCCCTTATTGAGGCTTTTGGGAAAATATGGATAGGACCAAATTTACATGCAACACAATAGACAGCGATGCACAGTCAATCATGTCTACAAACGCTGGAAACCAAATTACTGGGGCTGTTTTAAAGCAGAAGTTAATGGTTGGGCTGATTCCTATTAAGGTCTGTGCACTCTCATTTGAATAATGGTCTTCCCTACAATGTGTTATTTTTTTCTTCCATGCTCCGCATTTGACCCAGAAAGGAAATAAATGTGTTTCAGTTTAAACACCTCAATTAATATTCAAGTGGTTTTAATACTTCAGGTTTAATACTGTAATTAGCATTGCAGCCTGTAGAGAATTAATGATAAATAGTGTTCTGTGTGCAGATTGATTTAGTGGCATGCTCAATGCAAAAAGAAAAAAAAATGTATTCTGGATGTGTCTCAAAGTTAATATAAATGTGAACAAATAAAATAATTTCTGTTTTCTGTGTCAAACCACTTTTAATAACTCTTGCATTTAGAATTTATTGTTATGGTTGTTGGCTTATCTCCCACTCTTAAATAGTTGAATTACACAAAGATTTAGCCTGATACCCCAATCAATAAATTAGTTAACAGAAATCTTATTCCGAAGAAAAACTTTGGTGCTTTAGATGGTCCATTTATTTAATTTGAAACAGATTTTTTATATGTTACCTTTCCTCTTTGAAGCTTGCAGAACTAAGGTGTATCACCTAGGTAGGTGAAAATACAGTTATTTGCATGATTGCAAAGGTCAGTCAAGGCCCCTTGAGGGCAAGGATTTAAATTGAAACTGATGGACCATGAGGAGGTCCAGACCTGCTCTTTGTCTGCTTAGTTCCTGTCACCTCATGGTGGATTTTCTTTAGTCAAATATTCAGAGATAGTGAGATCAATTTAGTATGGTACACGAAAATACCCCTTGTTAAAGAACAGTTCCTCATATGCAGAATCCGATAAAATTGTTAATGAAATGTTTCTGCCACAGTGGAGAGGGATCTAGATACTAATTTCACCTAAACTTGAACTACAAGCTGACAGCTTCCCATCAATTGCTCATATTTTATTCATCTCTGCATTCTGCTGGTGAAAATAGGAGGTGGTTATAAAAACCAACAAAATGTTTGGGGAAAAACTTTCATTGTTAATTCTACCGCACTTAAAATCAACTTATTTTAGATAGTCTGACACCATTTGAAAGAAACATCATGATCAGTTTTGCTTTTTCTAGCTATTTTGCTTTAAATTGTATTGCAACAAAATAATTCCTCCAAAAAGGTGTGCCACGGTAAGCAATGCAACTAATCCAAGTTAATCTAGACACATCCAAATGTGTTTATCTTGTTTCTCTTCTTAATAAAAGTAATTTAAAGGTGGTTTGTGTTTTGCTTTGCTGCAGCAAAGCATTGAGCTGTATGTGGAAACAGTGCATAGATCTTAGCAAAAGGAGAATATTCCTGGAAACAAATGAGATGTAAAATTTAATAAGATTCGGTTGCTGTCATCGCAAATTTTTGCCTTAGCTTTATTATCCATGGAAGTATCTATCAAGGCCTGGCAGTCATTAGTTTTTTATTTAATTAAATTTTATATTAAAATTCTTGCCAATCAAAAGCAACTTGAAAGCTTTAGAATCCTGGCTAGTTGATGATCAAACATAACACTATAGATGATAGAGTCAGGCTTTTTTTCAGTACTTAGTCCAGTTTCTCTCCTAAGTATAGCTATAAGCTCAACTTTTACTTTCTCTAACTATGTGCTCTCTTTCATGCCTTTGAAACAAAAACTGGCTCAAAGCTCCCTCTGCTTCCTTTCCTAGACAGAGTCAGCTGTGGAGCTGGTTTACTGTTACCTTTTCTAGCATATAAAGTATTTATGGATCAGTGCTTCTAAGTTCCTTTTGCATACGTATATGCTTCTGTCTTCTTGATCCCGTGTCGGCCTCGGCAGATGTCCGTTAAAAAAGAGCCTGGTGCTGCTGGAAGTTTCTTCCTGTTAAAAGTGAGTTTTTATAACTCTCTACTGTCGCTAAAATCATGCTTAGAGTAAGGAGGTCAATGAGTGGATGCAATCAGCTGGTTTTCTTTAGATAGAAAACTTTGACCTAATCTGACTGTATGATCTGATTGAATTGTCTCTTTAAAGTGCCTTGAGATGACATGTGTTGTGAATTGGTGCTATATAAATAAATTGAATGGAGCACTTATTAATATAAAATGATCAGCTCAATCCATATGCCTTTTGTTTTAATAAAGCAGAATTAGTCATTTTATCTGTTCTGCAACGTCAAATATGCAGGGTGAATCTACCAATGTAAAAGTACTTGTAGCCGTAAACAGTATTTTAAAAAACTGCTGTGATTTTTATCCCAGAAAACAATATAAACCACATCTTGCTGGAGGTTTCTTCCTATTAAAAGGGAGTTTTTCCTCTCCACTGTCACTACAAGCATGCTTAG